CAGGAAGGGGAGGGGTGAGGAAGCACCGCCAGCCCACTTTCCCTTCCCCTCTGGGGGGGGGGTCATTTCTCCTACAAAGAAGAAGAGCCACGCCAGGGCCAGAGCAGGGGAAACTGTGGGGAGGGGAGGGGCTGCTGTAGGTCTCTTCCCCCCCTCCTAGTGCTGGCGAAGCCTCCCTTACCCAGTCATGTGTGTGTGTGTGTACATGTGTGTTTTGTCTGTACTCAGGGCTGCTGCTATGAATGCATCTCCTGTTGTATTATTGGGGGGGGGCATCATTGAGATGTAGACACAACAGAGCAACTGGTAGAAATCTTGGGGGCAGGTAGACTGTCTCTCTGCAGCCACCCTGCTGACCGTTGGCCATTGGCAAAGGAACCGACCGCCTGTGCTAAGCCCCCCCCCCCGCCCCACTTCTTCCTCCTCCTTCCCGGCTCCAGGCGATGGGTCGCTGCCTATGAGGAGAAGCTGAAAGCGTCCCTGGTGGAGAAGATGAAGACCTATGAGAAGGATGCGGCTCAGCTGGACGAGCTCCGGTTCCAGGAAGACCTGGCGATCCTCCGGCGAAAGCGGGTCATTGGGATGACCACCACAGGTCCTCCGCAGCCTCCTGGCCACTACTAACAGGGTGACCCCGATGTGTGGAAGGAGTGGGTCTCGGGGCGCCCTTGGGAGCCTCAAGACATGGCTGGGCTTCCCTGGGTGAGGGTTTGTGTTTGTGGGAAACGGGCTTAAAGCCGAGTCCCCCTTCTCCGCCCCATCCCCAGCTGATTCCGGGGCTCCCTGCCTCGGCGAGAAGGGGCTCCTCCGTGTCTTGTGCTTGCCTGGCCTGGCTGTGCAAACATCCCCACCTAAGGGAAGGGGGCCGGGCAGGGCCCCCGTGGGGGGGGGCATCACCTCTGGCCCCGCTGTCTGGAGCAAGGCAAGGCACACGCAGGACAGCCCTCAGACCGCCGGGGGATTCTTGCTGCTCAAGCCAAGCCCTGGGAGCAGCGGCGCAGGGCCTGGAGCCATGCTGCGTGGGTCCGATGGGCTGCACGTGCGAATCGGTCGCCTGAGCAAAACGGGAGAGAAGGGCGGGACGTGCAGCAGGAGAGGTTTCAAAATATGTAGCGGTGGGGGGGGAGAGGGAGGGAACCTAGCAGTATTTAGCCAGGCGGAGCGCTCCACAGAAGGAGCATCCGCACCTGCCGGAGGGAAGGCAGGTGAGACATTGCAGGAGCCATAAAGGGCGCAGGAGAAGGCACCGGAACGGAACACAACCCCCTCTCAAAACTTCTGTCCTCCCAGAGGCAGAACGGTGGTTTTCCTGAAACGCACAGTCAAGGTTTCTATCATGACTTGCATCCTGAAAGCGTGGGCCCCATGTGCAGTGGACCATAAAACTCTTTCAACCTGCCTCTCTGCCCTGGAAAACTCTTTAAAGTAACAGGTAAAGCCAACAAGTGAGAGAGAGGGAAAAGACCGGAGTGTGAATATGGAAAAGAACACAAGGAAAAGGGGGAATGCAGAGAAAGGACATTTCCCAGAAAGTTTGAGTAAAGGCTGGAACGAATACTCACTTTTTCAAGTGAGGTACAGTGGACCCTCGACTTATGAAATTAATCCATATTGGAACGGTGGCTGCAGGTCGAAAAGTCTGAAGGTCGAGGCTCCATTGACCTACAATGCACTGAAAACCAATTAATCCGTAACCGGCCGTTTTTGTTCCATTTTTTTTCCTGGTCTGTAGATCGATTCTCCGGCTGCAAGTCGAACCTAAATTTTGTGGCCAGAGAAGTCTGTAACTCGAAAAGTCTGTAAGTGGAGCCGTCTGTAAGTTGACGGTCCACTGTAAGGATTCCAAAGCAGGGCAGGCAATTTGCACATTTCTGTGTTAGAAATGTGCAGATCCTAAGCCCAGGTTTGTGTTACTTTGGTATCATGTGGGAACTGCCCGCTCAGCCACCCACCCCCCAGTGCCAGCGGCTGCCCTTAAGGTCAAAGCGGAAGAGAAAGGAGCCACCTCTTTAAATATTGTGTTTGATCATCCTGGAGGGTGTGCACCTTTCCTCCGACACACACACACACACACACACACACGCTGTAAGAAAGAGAAAGAGGGAGGGAGAGTCTTTTTTTTTAAAAAAGCCACCCGGGCCTCCCTTTCCCCTGCAGGTGCTGCTAAATACAGGAAGCTGCTGCAGAAAGTCCGCCCTCGCATAGTGATCGTGGAAGAGGCGGCTGAAATCCTGGAGGCCCACGTCCTCACCTCGCTCTCCTCCTCCTGCCAGCATCTCATCCTGATTGGGGATCACCAGCAGGTAAGCCCAAAGCTGCCTTTCCCAGGTCCCCCCCCTCTTCCCCCCCCCCCCCCTGCAGCCCCTTTGCTCTTGGGTGGGATGCGGCTGGGATGCGCAAATTGGCCATGTCCAGTCCCACTGCCCCAGGATGTCTGACGCCCCAGTGACAGGCCGTGCGGGTGGCGGCAGCCAAAATGGAAGGAGGTCTTTCCCAGAAGGGTGAATCAGCTGGAGAGCCGAGGGGCCTGTACAAGCACCCGGTGGCAGATGCCGGGGGGGGGCTTTTCCTCCTTTTGCTGGGCCCGCCCCTGCTGCAAGAGGGAGCTCTGGCACACAAAAAGGCCACCAGCCATTCCGAATCAGAGCAGGGAGTGGGCTGGGGGCAGGGAGAGGGGGATTTCATGAGCAAACTCTGCAGGGGTGCTGTGGCCGCTGTGCAGCTCCACGCCAAGAGGAAACTGGACTCCCCCCCCCCCGTCAGCTCTGCTTGGACTTGGATTCCTCCTGCCTTGAGCAGCCGGGGGTCGGATCCTGTGGCTTTCTCTTAGCCCTTCCAACGCCATGATGCTATGGTTCTATGAAGCACCGCAGGGCATCCGTGCCTCCCCGACTTGCCACCTCAACCTACCAGTTGACCCCTGCCTCTGCATCCCCCTGGCGTGAGTCGGAGGGCACGTCTTGGGGGCCTCCACCCTCCCACCCGCCCGCCCGCTCACCCACAAGACTCACCCCAGGATTGTCTCTGCTGTGTTCCAGCTGCGTCCGAAACCGGCCGATTACACCCTGGAGAAGAAGTACGGCTTGGGCATCTCTCTCTTTGAGCGGATGGTCAACAATCAGCTTCCTCACGTGCAGCTGCTCTACCAGGTGGGTGAGCGGGGCGGGCAGGCTTGGCAGGTGGGGAGCAGAACCCTTGGATGCTGCTGCCTCTTCCGCTCACCCCTTTCATCATGAAGTCCACCTCTGCCGACCTCCAGGCTGATCTCCGTGTAGCACGAAGAGCGTGCTGGAGTGGGCTGAAATAGGGTCTCTGGGAGGTCTGGTATGCCGCCCCTGTATCCAAACAGCATCGGGAACTGAAGCGACCCTATGTGGTCTGCAGCAACCTGCAGTCAATTTGCCAGTATCATGAAGTGGCTTAAGAAAAGAGAGCACTTCACAGTTTTGGTAAGTTAATAACTTCCTTAACTCCGTAGGGGGGCTGAGGAAGTGAAAAACGTTTTTTAAAAAGTGTGTACCAAGGTAGCGAATGTTTACTGCATCACTTTGAAGATCTAAAAGACGAATGGAAAGCAAAGGCGCGTCAGAGCAGCACAACCTCTGTCACTTGGCTTATTGCCGAAATACACCTTTGCTTTCCACGAGTCTTTCAAGTCATGCAGTGAACAGTCACTGCCCTTAGACACATCTGAAGCCACTCCAGAATATTGGCAAATTAGAGGAAGACTCGCTTTTAGCCTGTTTCTAGCAATCACCTGCGATGGAACTGATCCAAACCAGAGCCATCCTCCCCGCACCAAAAAAGTAGAAGCCCCTGACAGGGGTCAGGAAGGTGCAGGTAGGAACACTCTGGGGATGATTTAGTTCGCTCCAGTGGTTGCATCGTGAGAACATAAGAGGAGCCCCAGGCTGGATCAGGCCGAGGGCCCCTCTGGTCCAGCTCCCTGGATCTCGCCGTGGCCCCAGGAGATGCCTCTGGTTGCCCACGAGACCTCGAGAGACCTCTCTCCTGATCCCCCTCCCTTGCCTCTGGCATTTGGAGGTATCTTCGTTTTAAGCCTGGAGATTCTACATCCTCAGCATGGCTTACAACCTGTGATGTTCTTTCCCTCCAGAAATCTGTCCAATCCCCTTTTAAAAGCATCTAGGCCAGATTGTGTGACCACTGTCAAAAGGAATAAACCAATCCCTCCACACAGCAGTCCAAACACTGAGCTAAACACTCATCTGACTGCACCCTTCCATCTTCCCCAACCCTCTCCTCACCCTAGGCCAGTTCCTTGCTCCTGTGCTTCAACAGTCCCTTCTCTCATTGCTAACCCCTCCATGCCTTGTGATTAAAAGAGCCTCAGCCAGGACAACCAAGAGGGGTGATGAGATCTTTTACAGTGGTGCCTCGCTTGACGAGGATAACCCGTTCCAGCAAAATCGCTGTAGAACAAAATAGTCATCGAGCGAAAGTAAAAATCCCATTGAAATGCATTGAAAACCAGTTCAATGCGTTCCAATGGGCGAAATACCTCAGCGTCCAGCAAAGATCCTCCATAGGGCGGCCATTTTCCGGTGCCTGTAAAGTGATGAATCCGTCCTAAAACACAATGGGGAGCCATTTTACACAGCAGGCGGCCATTTTGAAAGCTTTTTTGATTGTCGTTAAGCGAAAAATCGGTTCCTGAAGCAGTGAACCGATCATTGTTTTCTCCTATTAAAACATCGTTTTGCGATCACAAAAGCGATTGCAAAAATTTCATTGTTAAGCAATTTCCTCGTCTAACGAGGTAATCGTCAAGTGGGACACCACTGCATATCCTCCCTGGTAGATGGTGGGAATGTTGTAGATGTAATATATCTTGATTCCAGCAAAGTCTTTGACAAAGTGCCCCATGATACTCTAATTAGCAAGCTAACTAGATGTGGGCTGGAGAGAACAAATGTCAGGTGGATATACAGTTGCTTACAGAATAATATTAAGATTGTTTATCAATGGCTCCTTCTCAAATTGGGAAATGATAACAAGTGGAGTTCTACAAGACTCAGTCCTGGGGCTGGTACTCTTCAACATTTGATGTGGCTACAAAAAAGGTAAATGCTATTTTAGGCTGCATTAACAGAAGTATAGTCTCCAAATGCGGCAAGGTGCTCGTTTCGTTTAGTCGTGTCCGACTCTTTGTGACCCCATGGACCAGAGCATGCCAGGCCCTCCTATCTTCCACTGCCTCCCGGAGTTGTGTCAATTTCATGTTGGTTGCTTCGCAGACACTGGACTGGTTAGGTCTCACCTTGAGTCTTTTGTCCAGTTCTGGATATCAGACTTCAAGAAAGATACTGACAAACTGGAGCAAGTTCAGAGGAGGATGACAAGGATGATGATCAGGGGGCTGGAAACCAAGCCTTATGAGGGAAGGCTGGACGAATTGGGCATGTTTAGCCTTGAGAATAAAAGACTGAGGAAAGATAGGATGGCACTTTTCAAACATTTGAAAGGCTGTCCTCCAGAGGAGGGGCAGGATCTGTCCTCGATCATCCCAGAGTGCAGGAAATACAACCATGGGCTCAAGTGACAGGAAGCCAGATTTTGGTGGAATATCGGGGAAAACGTCCTGTTTTAGCAGTACGACAATGGATCCCGTGACCTCAGGGGGTGGGTGAGTGCTCCAACCCGGGAAGCCTTCAAGAGAAAACCCTCTTTCAGGTCTGCTCTGGTTGGGCTTCCTGCCTTGAGCAGGGGGTTGGACAGACTCCATGGCCTTAGAAGCCCCTTCTGACTTCATGATGTGATGAACTGCCCCTGGAGGGGGTCTGGGGAGTGGATGGGTGAATGATCTCAGTGACCTTTTTTACATGGTGGGGCTGTGGGTGGGAGAGGCCTCTGCTCCTCCAGGGGCTGCTGGATGGCTGCCCTCTTTGCCCCCCCCCCCGTGGCAGAGGGGTCTGCGGCTGAGGTACATCCCCAGCCCTAAAACATTGGGAGGGCTGCACGTATCCTGCGTCCCCTTTGACCCTCCTTTCGGAAAAGGCTGGAGCATTCCAGGGCAGCCCAGCCCCATGACCTGGAGCACATGTAGCGGGACCTTGCCGGGGTGGTGGCCAGCGCCATGGTCTGGGGTAGGAGGGCCTGGCTGCCTCGAAGACCCTCCCTGCACAACAACCGCTTGGCGGCAGAGACCCCTGTCGGTAGATAGACCGGCTGCAGGGCTGGGGGGGAGCTTCGGAAGGCCCCCCCCGACCACTTCTTCCCTGCGTCGCCAGAGGTGGAGACTTTTCTCCTGCACGAGGGGCTCCAACGGAGCAGATCCACGTGTCACGCTGACCCTGTTCTCTCCCCCCCCCCACACCGCCAGCACCGCATGCGCCCAGAGATCTCCCAGCTGCTGGTGCCCTGCTTCTACAAGGAACTGCATGATCACCAGGCCGTTCTCGAGTATGAAAACATCAAGGTACGGACGGGGTAGAGATGGGAGCCTTCGTATATGAATACCAATATCTGGATGAGGGTTCCCCCCACCCCGCTGCCGGACCATCCACTCCCGCGTCCAGCGGTGGTGGCGGCCTTGCTCCTCCTTCCAGTCACTGCGGGAGCCCCGCTCTCTTCCTGCTCGGCCGGCCGCGCCAGGCAAGGGGAGGGAGGACGAGGCACTGGTGGGGGTGCTGGTGCCAGGCCCCGCCGGGTGCCCCTGCCAGACAAGGCGGTGCCCTGCCTGTCCCACAGCCTCCTTCACAGGGTTTTGCAGAAGCCCCAAAGGCCATGCAGGGTCTCCCGTTTTAAGCACCCTGGTACTCGCCCTGCGAAGGAGGGAAGGGAGCAGGACGGACCAGCTTCTCCGCTCCGGGTCGACGGGGCTTCCTCGGGCTGCTGGCTGCTCTCTCTTCCAAGGAAAAACTACCCCACAAGCCACGTGCTGTTTTCTTTCAACCCAAGTCGGCTGGACTCCTTGTCCAACCGGACCTTGGCGTGAGAGGAGGGTGGAAGGAAGGCTTCCTCGGGGGTCTTCTGCTCTCTGTGAGCATCCCGGTTTCCCTCCCTTTTCTGGCCCCAGTGTTAGAACCGGGGCCCCCGTGACGTGCAAGGTCGTGGCTTCCACTTTGGCAGCCACGGGGGGGGGCAGTCTTGGGGCTCTCCAGTCAGTTGCCCAGAAGACGTGGGCACTGGGCTCCCATTCTGTTTGGCAAGGACAAATTGGCTGCCTTCAAGGGTGGCACCGATGCTGTGCCCAGAAGGTCAGGCAGCAGAATTAGCGTTGCAACAGGGCTCCCCTGGAGCCACTTGCGGGTTATTATATTCTTTACCTCCTTCAAAAAAAACACAACACACACCTTTTCTGGAGCAACTCTGATTTGCCACCTTTCTTGAAGCCTCTCTCGCTCCAATTTGGGCATGATGTTTCTGCCAGCTGTCTCCTCTTCTACCTGGCTTACCCGTGATCTTGTTTCTGTGAAGGGTGTTGAGAAGAACGTGTTCTTCGTGCAACACGAAGAGGAAGAGAGCCACAGCGCAGGCACAGAGAGCTACAGCAACCTGCACGAAGCCACCTTCCTGGTTTCGCTGGCCAGCTACCTCCTCAAGCAAGGCTACAGTCAGAGCCAGATCACCGTCCTCACCCCGTACCACGGACAGGTGATGAGGATCCGAACTCTGCTGCTGCAGGCAGAGATGGAACACGTGGATACCCACGCCGTGGACGACTTCCAAGGAGAAGAAAACGACATCGTTCTGCTCTCGCTGGTACGAAGCAACCGCCAGGGGAGAATCGGCTTCCTGAAGGACAAGAACAGGCTGTGCGTGGCCCTCTCTCGTGCGAAAAAGGGCTTCTACTGCATTGGGAACCTAGAGGTCCTCTCGGCCTGTAGCCCCCTGTGGAAAGAGATGGCCGGCTTGCTAAAAGCGAAGGGTCTTCTCGGGGAAGAGCTCTCGCTGATGTGCCAAAACCACCCGGAAACCAAGACGGCCGTGAAGGAGAGCCACGGCTTCCGCCAACTCCCAGATGGAGGCTGCACACTCGAGTGCCAGGTGCGGCTGGAATGTGGCCACCCTTGCGCCCGCCACTGCCACCCCACCGACAGGGACCACCGGCAGCACCTTTGCAAGTTTCCCTGTGCCCGAGCCCTGTGCGAGCTCAGCCACCCCTGCCCCAAGAAGTGCTGGGAACACTGCGGGCCCTGCAAGGTCGAGGTGCCGAAGGTCATCCCGAAGTGTGGACACAGCCAGAACCTTCCGTGCCACGAATCCGCTGCCACCTGGATCTGCAAGGAGCCGTGTCAGCAGCTTTTGAAATGTAGCCACCGGTGCCACCTGTGGTGTGGAGAGGACTGCCAAGCGGCCCGCTGCAAAGAAACGGTGGAGGTCACTCTCTCCTGTTCCCACGTGACCCGAACGGAGTGCTTCAGGCGGGAGATGCCCCTGCGGTGCCACGAGAAGTGCCGGCAGAAGCTGGATTGCGGCCACGCTTGCAGGGGAAGCTGTTTCGAGTGCGTCCGGGGCCGCCTGCACACGGCCTGCCAGAAGAAGTGCGCCAGGGTCTTGCTCTGCTCCCACACGTGCCAGGGCTCCTGCTGTGAGAATTGTCCTCCCTGCGCCAGGAGGTGCCCCAACCGGTGCTGCCACAGCTTCTGTGACCGGCGGTGCGGGGAACTCTGCTTCCCCTGCAGGCAGCCCTGCCGCTGGCGGTGCCCACATTTCCAGTGCACGCGGAGGTGCTCGGAAATCTGCAACCGCCCCCGGTGTGACGCGCCCTGCCAGAAGATCCTCAAGTGCAGGCACCCCTGTGTGGGCCTTTGTGGGGAGCCCTGTCCCCCCAAGTGCCGGGTGTGCCACCGGGACGAGTTGGCAGAAATCTTCTTTGGGAACGAAGACGAGCCCGACGCCCGCTTTGTGGTTCTCTGGGACTGCCGGCACGTCTTGGAGGTGGGGGGCCTGGACCGCTGGATGGAGGGGGAGCCAAGCCCTGCTGCGGGAGCCCGGGAGGTCCAGCAGAAGGTCTGCCCCAAGTGCTCGACCCCCATCCAGGACCACCCCCGTTACAACAACATCCTCAAAGCCACCCGGCAAAGAATGGAGGAGATAAAGCAAAAGATCCGTGGGACAGAGGAAGAACTCCAAGTCGGGCGAACCCAGCTGGTCCAAAGGCTGTCTTTCGTGGTGCCACACGCAAGCTGCAGCTTTGATCCAGGCGCCCTGGCAAGAAAGATCAGGAACACGGCTTCCCTTCAGGACCTCAAGGACTGGGAAAACACCGTGAGTTTCCTCCTTTGCCTTCAGAGGCTGAAAAGCCAAGCCGCAACATGCACGGAGGAGAGGAAAGAGTGCCTGATGGAGGAGGCCGAGCGGATGGCGTCCTGGTTGTCCAGGAGGCGAGAAGGCCAAGCGTTCACCCGCCAGCAGCTCAGAGAATGCAGGGACGAGGCGAAGAGGCTCTCCTACTTGGCCAACCTCTTCCAGCGGCTGAGCCGGTGGGAGACGAGCCAGGCGCCTTCCTCTCCCGAAGCGGTGGCCGCCGTCTCCGAGGCCCTGAGGCTGCTCAACGGGCAGAGGCCTTTCACGGAAGCCGAAGAGGCGCTCCTCCGGCCGGCCCTAGAGGCCCTCGACAGGCTGCTGCCGGCCTCGGGGCCACAGCTCTCTGAGGTAGAGAGGCTCTCGGTTGTTGAGGCCATGCGCTTTGGAAAGGGGCAGTGGTACCAGTGCCCCCGGGGCCACTTATACACCGTGGGGCAGTGTGGGCGGCCCATGGAAGAGAGCCAGTGCCCTGAATGCGGGGCGACCATCGGTGGACACAATCACAGGCTTCGACCAGATAACCTTTCCGCCAATCCGACCCAGGGCGCTCGGGACAGAGGAAGGGAGGAAGGGAGACAGCTCACCAACATCGCCGAGTTCATGGCACCCTCTGATCACCTGGCCCTGGCACCTGCCACAGCCACCGTTCCTCCCTGTGAGCCAGGAGAGTCTCCATCCTATGCCAGCGACAGCTGCGGAGAAGCTGGAACCAGTCCTTGCGCCTCCTCTGTTTGTCAAACGCATGCTCCTCCTGTCAGCCCTACCGCTGGGTCCTGCCAGTTATTGGGTTCTGAACCAGAAGGAACCTTGGAGGAAGAGGAGGAGGAGGAGGAGAAGGAAGAGGAGGACGAAGAGGAGGAAGAGGATGAGGAGAAGGAGGAGGACGATGAAGAGGAGGAGGAGGAGAAGAAGGAGGAAGAGGAAGAGGAGGAGGACGAGGAGAAGGAAGAGGAGGACGAAGAGGAGGAAGAGGATGAGGAGAAGGAGGAGGACGATGAAGAGGAGGAGGAGGAGAAGAAGGAGGAAGAGGAAGAGGAGGAGGAGGAGGAGAAGGAAGAGGAGGACGAAGAGGTGGAAGAGGATGAGGATAAGGAGGAGGACGATGAAGAGGAGGAGGAGGAGAAGAATGAGGAAGAGGAGGAGGAGGAGGAGGGCCCAGTCATAACTCCTGACACAACCTGGGACCATGAGGAGCCCACCCTGTCTCCAGGAGACACCAAGGCAGCTGCCACGGGAGAAACCAGCAACCCAGGCACCCCGCCGTTGTCCGGCACTGCCATGACTGGCCTGGCTGACTCCTCTTCAGAGGAGGATGTGCCTCTGCTGGAGGGGGCTGGGGAGGAACTAGAGACCCCGGCTGACAATCCCAGCCCGGGTACCCTGGAGGGAGAACCTGCCCTGCCCGTGGAAGACTCGGGCTCCCCTGGCAGAGAGAACGCCCTCATAGAGGAAGAGGCCCTTCTCTCGCCCAGCACCGCCCCAGCGCCTGGTCCTGGGCAGCCTCCAAGGACGAAGGCCCCACTGAGGCGAAGTCAGCGCCTGCAGCAAAAGTTTTCCAGCTGATTCATGCCCGTTGGCATGAGGGAGAGCCTTTCTTGCGGCCAACAGGGCAACAACAACGGGCTCCCGATGCTCAGGCCGTGCCGAGAGCCACCCAGTCTTCTCGGCTGGCCTCCTTTCTTGCTCTCCTTGCCTTCTTCTCCCCTGCCGGAGAGATCCGCAGAGACCTTGACCAGGGACTCCTTTGGGACGCCAACCCCTGCTTGTTCTTCGTCTCTATGGCTGAACCAGCAGGCCGTGGTTGACAGACAGACCTCCCTCCTGATAGGTCCTCCGCCTGCTCCCTGGATTTTGATTCCGGCCTCCCCGGTGGGCCAGCCCAGCTCAGCCTCGCACATTCCCTCCGCACCCTGACCAGGATGGGCCCCGTCCAGCGGCAGAGGGGACTGGCTTACAGGCACTTAGACCACACCGCTTCCTGCAGGACCCTTCAGCAGCGACCAGCACGGTGTTACGTCTTGTTGTGCGGTGGCTTTGTCTGAATGCTCAACATGAAAATGCACAGCGGCTTGAGCCACAGGACTCAAGAAGACCCACGCTAAGCCTTCTGGTCCCGCCTCTCCTCTCTTCCAGGCCCTTCCTGCCCTTCCTGTGGGGCAGGATCCCAGAGAGATACCTCTGAGGTTCCATGAGTTCGTCTTGCGCGCAAGCGCCTTAAGGCCTCTTCCTGGACTGGGCAGCATCTCGGAGCAACGGTGGAGTCTGGGAGCGCCTTTCCCCCCTCCAGCCCAGCTCAACGTGGGGACTGCTTTGCTTCAGCATCCCATCGCTCAGGCCACGTGAAAACCTCCGAAACTCAAAGGGAGGGACCCACCAGGCTTGGAAAAGATGGGCAAGGTTACGAGGAGGGCCCTTCGCCTCCTGCTGAAGCGTTTTTCCGACCCTGCGTGCCAACCCAGCCCGAGAAAGCTGACACGCCTGCTTGTTTACTCCTTTTGCTGACCCATGAACGAACGCAGCCCCCTCCTCTGACTTCTGCTAATCAGCACACCTGATGTCTCTCCGGTTTCTGGACTGCTTTCGCGTCGTCTTCTGGATACCAGCATGCTTGAGGGGAAGGGGCCTTTCTCAAGGGTCTCCATCCTTGAGAGATCCACCCTCTCCCCCCCCCCCAACCACCCAGGACAGGCTGAGAGAGGGAGAGACTCCTTCCCTTCTACTACTTTGGCTGCTTCCATTTTTACCCCTACTCCTAGTATGTTTTCTCGAGTCTACAAAAAAAGCAGTAAAACGTGTACTTTTCTCTTTTCTTAACCTAAGTTGGTGTCCGAGTGGTTATTGGGCCAGAGTGACCAGGGATGCTGGCACATGTCCAAGTCCCTATTGAAACCATGCCTCCCCCCCCCACACACAAAAGGGAGGAGTGGGTTGGTTTTTGAGTTGTGAGTTGAGTCCGAGTCATGGGGGGGGGGGAGAACCTAAATCAAATCCAAGCGCAGTCACTGGTGTGACTTCAGTCCAACTTGACCAGGACTCCCATCACTCGAGTCCCATCCCTGTCACTTCCTGCAGGGGCATGGATGGGTTGGGGTAACTTGCTCTCCGTGCGAACTCCTAGGTGACGGGCCCCTTCTGTTGTGCAGCCAAGAGGAATTCGAGGGATGCCTAGCGCGCTACAAGAATGACCACACCTCCCACTCCAAGGGCAGGCACCGCAAACACTCCCGAGCCAACCGTCCTCTAGCACCCTTGCCAGAGAGGGGGCCGATCAGCTGTGCACAGAAGGGCTGGGAAGCTGTGAGTGTGTCTTAAAAGCAAAGTGTGCTTGCTTATATATATACACCGCCCCATAGCACTTAATAAGACACTCTCTGCTGGGCGGTGTACAAGTTAATTATGCCTACGACACATTGCACCCCCTGCAAGCTTATAGGACAAAGCCTTAGCAATTATTATTTCCCACTAAAAGATTGTGGTTGAGGGGAACCGGCCCTCCCAGAAGAGCCCCTTTGCCGCTCGTCTCCCGACCTTGACCAAGGAAGTGGGGGGAGCCAGCTTCGTCTTGCCTGCTCAGCAGAAGCCCCAGCAAGGGAGGAAAAACGTACAGGTTGGGGGATAAAACCTCAGGCCGATTCACGTTGGCTGTCGCATCGCAGAGTCAACAGGAAACAACACGAAACAGACCATCACAATCTGACCGCACGTCCTGCATTATTTGCCAGTGGAGGTGTCCTCCTCCTCCTCCCCCCCCCCCGCACCATCTTCTGGCTGAGAGACCGGCTGCAGCAGGTCCAGGTAACCAGCATCACCCAAGAGTGCCTGGAGATGTAGGGCCACCAACTAACCAATGGCCTTACCCCCTCCCCCCCCCAATGGCAAACATGAGACCAATGCACAGGTTTTGGCTCGTTGCCCAGCACCACCGAGAAGGGGAGCAAACTCTGAAAAGGAAAGAAAGGTTACTTACCTGTAACTCTGGTTCTTCGAGTGGTCTTCTGTGGATTCACACTAATGGGTTAAATCTGCACTTGTGCAGAGGCCTCGGAATATTCTAGAGCTTAAAGTAACACTTTTGGCTCCGCCCCCCAGGACCTCATGGTCCGCCCGTCCTAACAGTTACCTCAGTTCCCCAAATTCCGCTGCTGCTCTAAGGTGAGACAGCCGTGACAGAAAGAGGGGAGGACGGGCGGGACGTGTGAATTCACAGAGGACCACTCGAAGAACCAGAGTTACAGGTAAGTAACCTTTCTTCTTCGTGGCCTCTGTGAATGCACACTAATGGGTGATTAGCAAGCTTGCCTCTGATAGGAGGAGGGACGTCACAGCAAAACAGCAGACAGGACCGCGCGTCCAAAAATGGCATCCTCCTTGGCTCGCAGATTCAGGCAATAGTGAAAGATGAAGGCTGACGGAGTGGGCCAAATGTCAGCTGTGCAGGTGTCTGACAGCAGGACACCCTTGAGGAAAAGCTGTAGAAGTAGCCAAAGTTCCGGTAAAGTGAGCGTTCACCGGGCGCAGGCGATTAGACTTGCGGGGGAAAAAACAGTCCTGCAAACATAGAACGATAATGCTCTGCGAACATCTAGCAGGTGAAGAGACCTCTCTACATCTGTAGGCAGTTAGGAAAGAAAGTGGGCAGACTGATATGAAACTCAGTAGAAACTTTAGGTATGAAGGAGACATCTGGGAACAGTATAACTTTGTCCAGGTGGCAAAGTAGGAAGGGAGGATCCACCTGAAGTGCTACTGGAAGTAACTGCAACTAAGAAATA